GTGAGGGCATCCCGCTTAGTTCCCACCTGGAGCCTTTTGCTCCCGTTTTCCCTCTCCCTAGGATGCTGTTCCATGTTTTTTCAGCACTTCCTGTTCCAAAAGAAACCCAAAGAATATAATCCTGAACAAGAAGTGTTTATAACAAGGGATCCTAGCCTACAGCTAAGAACAGCGTTAACACCCAAGGCAACATGGCCTTTTCCCCCTTTTACCACCCCCCCCCCTCGTCTCCCCACATCTTTCATAGCTCCTAGGGAGCAGCTATACAAAGCATGTTTCCAGTGACGGTCTTGACTGATGGAGAGACTAGTTATTCAGAAGGCAAAAGGAGAGGATCCTGAATTACAGAGGAAAGGGTCCTTTTCTTGTCCAAAGATTGAGCTGAGCAGCCGGGAGCTGGCAGCAGGGAAAAAACAGGTGGAAGTTTCAGACTCTTCCTGTCCCTCTCTTGAGCTGGTAACCCAAGCTTCAGCTTTCACCATCGCGCAGGGCGAAAATAATCACCATGTCCAAGTGACCCCTGGGCACTCGGAAAAATGGCCCCAATTGTATTACAGTGAAGTGCATTCAGCCAATAGGTAGTATTTATACAATAACAGTCTCTAAGGTTTCTGTAGTTTTTCTTGTTGTTATCTGAAAGGACTCAAGTCTTCCACTGAGGATTTATGGAGGCTTCATCCAAGGTTGTTTCTTTTTTGTTAGCTTCTGTTTTGAGCGGTCAAAGCTCCTCTGTGCCCTTTCCCTCGACCATGCAGTAGGTATGCATTGGAAGTGTTGTTTGCAGTAATCGTTAGTCACTCGTTGAAGCTATTGTTGCTATACTACTGGATTGCTGATGAGCAAAAACTTCAGGGCCCAGATCCTCAGCGGGCTTGGAGTCGGTGTGGGACCATTGGCCTCCAGGTCAGTGCTGCTCTGCCACTTAACACCAGCTGAAGATGTGATCCCTCCCTGGTGTTTGCTTTCAAAATCAAGGACCCGATTACTCTCCCTCTAAATGTGCTCTGCAGGACTCCTGTCCAAGTCAGTAGGTGTTGGATCTGTGTAGCTGAGGACACGCATGGGCCAAGAGTGGCTGCAGGTGGCTAGATTTATGTCTTCTGTCTGGCCATTGCACTGGCCTCTTAGCAAAGTTACTAATCTGTTAAGGCATAGATACAACTTTTCACGACAGTCAGCTAATGTTGAAACTCACTAATGTATGTATTTGCTCTTTTTTGTTTGTTTTTGGAATAATATATTAACTAGTATGATGTGCTCGTGGTTTTTTTGTGGGGTTTAAATGGGGGGGGGGGGGAGGGAGGATTTCCCAACCTTTTTCAGTTCGGGTGAGCTACTGAAAATCATTTTGTACTAGCTATGTCACCATTCCTGACAGCCAGCAGGCTTGGACTGGCTTTCTCGTAAAGGCACTTGAAGACAGGCCTTATCGGGGTAGGTTTAGTCGTTCTACATCAGTAGTTTTTAAGGTCTTTTTTTTAATTGTTCGGTTCGGTATTGCTAATGAGGGTTGTTGCAAATCACACTTCCAGTGTAGTTCCTAGTGTAGGCCCAGTAAAAGGGATATTGCAGCTTTGTGTTGGGGAGAAATTGAGCTGACATGGCCAGTACAAAGGAGAAATAGGGAGGGAATAACGTTTTGCACCTTATTGAAAAGAGGAGAAAATTTTAAGTGCATACAGACATAGTTAAGAGCTTTTATTGTGACAGGAGAACTTTTTTCCATATGCGTGCATACTCTCTGTAATTCCAGTGTAAAATATTGTACTTGCACTAGCTTTTTTAAAACAAATATTAAAAAAAAAATGGAAGAATTCATATTCTATTTTCTAATGGTGGTGTGTCTATTTGTAGGATACACTCGCGTCTGTTTATTGAATTTTATGGTCCCTTTCTTTGATGGTGCTTGCAGGTTTTCTAGGTAGAAATTATTTCATTATTATAATAAAACAATGTTTGATTCAAAATTTGAACAAAATTGTTTTAAAGAAATTGTCTGTATACCAGTACAAGTTTATTGTTTCAGTATACTCGTACTAATAAAATAACAGTGCCAATTGCAAACGTGTACTTTGTCTTTATGAGTAAACACCAAATGTGAGACAGTTTTCCTATGGCAATTAATTTGTCCAATTTACTCCCCCTCTCCCCCTGCTTAGCAACGCGTTTTAATAGCATTTGCTTTTATTCACAACTACGCAGAAACGGGTTATGTACCCATACATGGCATGAAACCCTTTGCAGACGATCAGAGTGAAGCAATTTATTGCATAACAAAACTTTACGATTACAACTTTTTGAACACTAAATGATTGTGCCATTTGTGCTGGAGGCATTGCATACACAGGTTTGCTACAGATAAGGGAAGCCAATATTCATAATCACCATTTCAGCAGTGTATAGAAGGGCAGGAAAACGTTAACACTCATTAACTCCTTTTGGCTGATTTCACAGAAGCGCTTCACAATTATCACAGGCAACAGCAAGGTGTTTTGGACTCTGGGTTATTTATTTATGCATGGAAACTTCAGCCAGTAAACAGCATGCCGAGTAAATGCTGGGGAGGACTTGCCTAAACATCTGAATGCCCACAAGTGAATCCAAGGCTGGAGCAGGGGGACAGCACTGTGTTTAGGGGAGCAGAGCTGTGCTCGGCACCTCACCCTGAAGTCATTCAGCCCATCCACCCACCAGAGAGCTCCTAATTTGCAGGGAAGGCCACTGCCCTCTCCTGCGCATGGGCTTGCCGGGTGGCGCACAACAAACTGCTATTCTTGGGCCTTGGCTTTTTTTTTTTTTCCTCTTCCACCCAAGCAAGACCAAAGCTGGCTTGCTTTTTTCTAGAGGCAACTGCAAAATTCCTACAGTCTCCAAGAATGAACTTGTGGTATAAAACTGAGAGTAGCGACTAAAAAGCAACATTCCTGGACCGGTGGGGCAAGCGGGAAGAGAGGACGACGGCGGGCAGGATGCTGGATATACAACTGTATTTACACTGGTGAAAAGCTGTAGCAGCAACTCTGTTCAGTGCAGTGGGGTTAAAGATGTATAAACTAGGGAGTGCTCGGTTCAGCGAAAGCTTCCAACTCTCAAAGCGTCCATGGCTGAGAAGCATTAGCCCTGCCCCAGCGTGGTGGGGTTTGGCTAATTGCTGCGCTGTTTCTTGCTCACCGGCAGCCCCACCTTTCCCCAACCTTGACTAGTTGAAAGGAAGGCACGGGCACACTTTGTATAGGAAAAGCTTCTCCAAAAGTTGCACTAGCCCTTAAAATTCTTTATATTTGCAGGGCAGCCCACATCCTACATCCCTGTGCCGTAAGGTAAGAAAGATGCATAAGAAGGGCATAGCCAAAACCCCTCATGGTTGACAGCAGCGAGCAGGCTGTGCTGGGGGGAGGTGGGGAGGCGAGCACCTGCTGAGTGCATGCACTTTCTCTTTCAGAAAAAGGAGACTTGCATGGCTCGTCTTACATCTGGCAGGATGCTGGCTCAACACCCCTGCCACATGGGCCAGCCTCGTTCCCCACAGCTGGCCATGCCACTGCTCAGGCTGCAGCTGTGCCAAGACCTTCCTCCCCAAGGGCAGCTCAGGTAACCCAGGCTGCATGGGTAAGTAAACGAGTCAGCCCACCCTGTGAAGTGTTGCAGCAAGGTGACACCCCTCCCCCCCCTCCCCACGCAAACATGCCTGGGAGAGGATGGGGTTTTTTTAATTGTTCTTACATTTCAAGAAGATTCACATTTCAAGTGCTCAGTAGGGACTGTTTTAATGATGTTACATCGCCATTTGGCATCCCTCTTTTCAGGTCTTTGGTATGTTAAATTGTATCTCTGCAGAGCCAGTGGGCCAAACTCCAACATCATGGGCAATCAACTTAACAACTGCCTAGCTGGGGAAAGCAGGCATGACCTCAGCTGACAGCATTGTCTATCTATCTATCTCATTCACAGTGTTCCTTGTAAAGGGGAGCCAGGATGGGGAATGCTGTTGGAGGTGTTAACTAAGACCAGGTTATACAGATTCACCTGACACTAAGCACTCACAAATGCTACTTCCCACAGAAGGAAACCAGGTAACAGAGAACCTGGTGAAATGTGCAGGTGAGGTAGATCCACAAATGGCACGTGGAGTTGGTCAGTGGTTCTGGTCACTGCTTGGACCATCCTGCCAGGCGTAGCGTGCCCTCAGCTCCCTCTCTGCCCCAGTTCCTTGAGAGATCACAGCTGACTTGAGCAGGGCACAGGACCTGGCACTACAAGAAGATGAGGGCACCTACTATGGCACAGCACTGGCTGTTAAATAAGGGCTCAGGCTAATCTTATTTTAACTTTCCAGCCTGTCTGAGAGCTGGACAGGCAGTGGTGAGCACTGGCTTGGTTGAGGGTCCCCCCTGCACAAAAGCCCCCATATAACTTCGGGTGAGATGCAATCATACCATCAGTTCAGCATCTCTGCAGCTGATTTCTCCCTCCTGCTCACTTTGGAGGAAGAGGGAGGAAAGAAAATACAAAGAAAACCTGCTATTTACCAAAATGATGTTAAGAGCTGCTATTAAGAAAACCAAACACCCTAAGCCAAAGCTTTAAGAATAACTAGTCTTGGTGTCAATGTCATTCACAGCCTGGAAGACCCAGGAGACTTCTGAAGATTAGCCTGTCCCCATCTTTTCCTATTAGTCACTGGTGGGCTCCTGTGCAGGCATAAGTATGTGCAAAAATGAAGGGAACACAGGTGCAGGAGAAGCCCCAGGCCAGGCTAGCTATGGTATGTGTGTGGCCTGCCCAGAGGAGGAGACTCCTCGCTTGCCACAGCTGTGGGGAGGCAGCCCCTTCATCCCCAGCGTCTGCCCTTTGGAAAATCAACTGTTCCAAAGAGATGTCATGGAGCTGCCCTGCTCAATATGCATATGCTCTTTTTAAAAAAAAAAAAAAAGTTTACAAATATATATATATATATAGAATTTTATATGTATTTTAAAAATTTCATTTAAAAATGTAGCTAAAAAAAGTAGAAAAGCAATAGCGACGGTAATTGTGAGACCAGTGACAGCTGCACTTCTCACGTATGAAGGCACGAGTGTGGAGACACACCTGTGGTCAGGCCTGCAACATGACAGTCTATGGAGATGCTCATTTTCCCTTGTACCTCTACCCTTCATATCATGCAAATAAAGGAACTATGATCTCCTCCTATAGCCATATTGATGCACAGTAACACTGGACTGTACTCTGGGTTTGGTGCAGGTAAGAGCAACATTTCACCCATAGTAGGGTTTGTAGTAAAGCAGCCAGGCATCTTTTTTATGTTACGCTTTCAGGCTGCCGAGGATAGAGATCAGATCCTTTATTCACAGGGTCCGCTTCTGTTCTACATTCAGTATCCTTATGACATTTGGGCAGGACAAATGGACCACATCATTGTCAGCAAAAGCATAACCTATACTACCTTGAAGGCCCTTATTCACCTCCAAAGCAGAGGAAAGGGCCATACCCCAACAGAGATTTATGTCCTAAATGTTTAATGGAAACCATCTAAACTAGTGGGCCATGTAGAAGATCTTCTGTGCTATTTCTAATGTGCAGAGCACGTTTAAAAATCAGCAGGGATCAGCCTGTGGCCTAGATTTGTTCCTTAGCACGGTCAATTGTACCAACCCTTGTGCGTGTCTTTTTGAGCAGTTCAGCATACAAGCTTAATTCTAGTGGTTCTCTTTGTCATTCCTGTTCCTCAGATCACTGCTTTGCTTGCTCAGAGGAAACCTACCTCTTTCCACAGATGCCTAAAGGAGGGGAAAGTAAGACTCTGAAGTCACTGAAGTAACAGCAGCTGTACTGTGATCTCAGTAGCAGCACTTCAAAGTGGCCAAGCATTATTAATTCATCGGTGTTCACTACATCATTTATCATAATGAGCTACGGTGGTATTCATGTGGATGCAATGTGTATTTCCAAATAAATTTAGTTGTGATTTATCAATTAATTAGTGGGCCATTACACTTTATTCAAAGTGTTACCCAGAGTCTTAAACGTTCATTATTGCCTTCAGAGCAAACGAGCAAAACTCCATCTCAGCCTAGCAGCATCTTGCAACCAGGCCTCTAGCTATTCTGCTGAAAGCTCTCTTTTTTTTTCTCCTGATGGCAATGACTGCAAAAGAGTAAGACCAAGTAACTAAGAAGTGGATTTGATCCCTTTGGCCTCATTCAGCTGGCCACAGACCATAGCATGGCATTTTTATATAAATGGGTTAAAAAACGGCAGACAACTTGCAAGGGAACAGGCAGGGCTGCAGAGAGGCACCCCCTTGGTAGGTTTGCTGTGGCAGAGTTTCTGTGTCTTAAAAACCTATTCACACAAAGCAGGTAAAAGCAGAAATCCAGATAATTCAGTAACCGCATGCACCGTAAAGCAGGCAGGCTCTGAAATAGTCTCACCTGAATGATCTCCATAGATGGGGATGGGGGTAGCATGGGTTTGCTACAGTGCAATTCCAACTTCTCTGAAGAGGCAAGTCCATAGAATATGGAGATTTAAATAAAAATGGCTTTACAAGGCCTGTGAACTGAGAGTGACAGGGATCAGGCATTTTTATCATCACAGGAAAAAGTCACCAGTACCTTCATCCAGCCCTCCAACCTCTCTGACGTGCTGCGGGCTGGCAGCCCTGCCACAAACATCCATCCATCCTTTTGCCAGAGCAAAAGTGGAAGAAAGTGGTTTTGATTTTTTTTGATTCCTTCACTCAATTCTTTGCATCTTTTTCTCTCTCAGCCTGCAATTTCTGGAGGGCGCGCTACTGGGAGCAGTGGTAGCTGATGGGTCAAGCTTTTAAGAGGGAATGTGTGTGTACGTGTAGGTGCAGCAGCCATGTCTGTACAGGCCAATTTCTTATTAACTGAGGCTTCAGCAGCTATTCATCAGAGGGGACAAAAAGAGGTGAAGAAATGTTGATTAAAAAATAAAGGAGCCACAACAATAAAAGATGAGGTTATCGCATTTTGAACGAATGGCACTGTGTTAATAGCATTACCTTCCCCTGCCAAATCCCAGCCATCACAGCTATGAACCTGCTGTGCTCTGGTGGGAGAGAGAGGGGAGTTTGCCACTAACACAACGCAGAGAAGAAAGCAAAACAAAACAGCAGTCCCCTCCTGCAGTTTTCCCCACGCCACCCTCTCTCTAATCCCGGGCTAAGAGAAGACCTGGCTGTGCTGCTGGGTGACTCGGATAAAAGTCGTTCTCCTGCTCAGTTCTTTGAGTTTGGCAGCTCCCACATAGGTGCAGGTGGAGCGCAGCCCTCCGAGGATGTCAAGGATGGTAAGTTCCACGTCCCCTCTGTACGGTACCTCCACAGTCCTGCCCTCCGAAGCCCTGGAGGAGAGATTGTTTACTATATTTATGTGTAGATGCAAAATACAATACAATAGTGTGCTTACTGGGTGCAATATGGAGCTTAATGCTCCACATGCTGCAGTTCACAAGTGTCCCCCCAGCTTTCCTGCCTGTTTGCCTGCTGCTGGTTGGTGCTTTCAAGAACTGAAATGCCTCAGCTCCAGTCACTAATGCTGTGAACTAGAAGTGGATGCATCTTGCAGATGCCCCATTACCACAAGAATATTTATAGCTCTGCCCCTTCCTCCTTCCCTCCGCTGTCTGCCTATATGCAAGCAAAGCTTCCAGGTTCAAGGAAAGGCAAATTTGTCCTTGAGAAGTTCAAGCTTTAGGCTATAAGGAATGGCCAGGCTCAGGAAACTTGTAAAGCAGGCACCAGTCAGCACAGCTCTACAGGGGCTTCGCGACTGCAGGCTCTGTCCCACGTCACTGACCACATGCAGACAGAAACGCTCTGGCTGTCTCCTACTGCCCAGTTCTCCAGGGCCCACCCAGGCGGAACAGGAAACCCGTTATGGGAACCCACTGTAGAGCTGTCCCCTGAAGCTAAAAGAAGAGCTAACACATCTCAGAGTCAGGAAAAAAAGGCTAGAAAAAAATAACAGTACTGTGAATCCTGTCAAGAACAGGCACACACCAGCCCAGCTTTGCACCGCCCCAATCAAGAGTTATCTGATAGAAGAATCCAGGCAAGTAACTTTCACCTCGTTCCCCTTCATCCTTCTCCAGTCTCACGCCCAACAATTCCTCCCGCCATTCCTCCCAAACACCTGCTGATCTTGCTGTTCTTCAGAGCAAGCTTGTTTTGCATGGCATGGTTTCTCCTTTGGAGAAGGGCCTTGGGAAGGAGGTCTAAATGAGAGCAGTTGGAAAACTTGACTTTTGTCTAAAAATCTGTCTCAGAAAATGCTTGGATTCATGCCTTTCACATACGTAGCATGTTGATTTGCAGCTAAGGCCTGCAGCTTTAAACGATTTTTAGATTACACTTCAGCACCAGTTACCGCTTGAAATGGAAAAGGGAGAAGGGATTACTGTTCTTTCCCCCCTACAGAATGGAGTCAGGAATCATGGCTGGGATCTGTCACTGTTGTGAATGCGGATTTACTTCTTCTCCCTCAAATATGCTGTCTAGAGGATAGTGCGAGAGCAAAAGCATGCCTGTTTGCAGGCCCCACTTACAACATTACAACATTAACAACAGCAATAGCAGCTATCAGGAGGTACTTCAGTGTGAGCCTAGCTGTATTTCATTCTGTTAGTTTAACTCTGAGGTCAAAAGCCCTTGGGAGACAATAAAGGAGAAGTGTTAATATGCCATCTGAATGACGACCTATGATTAATCTCCCTACATCTGATAAGTAATTGAGTCTTTCTTGAAACCCTCAAATAAATACTATAGAGAAGTGGCCAATGGAACATGCATGTAGCTCCACTGTCTAGCAGACTGCACTGGGACTCGGGTGTGTTGTAGGGCCTGTGCTGCTGAGCGTTCACAGGCTTTTATTTTTAGCCCTAGTGCCAGCAGCAGTTGCAGCAAGGGAAAACAAAAGGACACAGAAGTATTCATGCTACAATCTTACAACGTCTTGGTTTTTGGCCAGGGCCACCTCCTCCAGTCCAAGCTGGGAGGTTCAGCTCAGCCTCCAAGGAGCCTTCTATGAGACTGTATGAGATGATACTACAAACCTAGGATTTGGGGAAACCAGTGCAAATTTTATTTACAGCCCCAAACAAAACCAGATCCCGGCACCTGCAGAGCCCTGCAAGGCAAAGGCAATGCTGTATAGGGTGAAAATTGCAAGGTTTCATGCATGAGTGCCCAATTAGTTCATGCAGGAGCACTCAATTAATTCATGCATGACTGCTGTGCTGGCTATAAATTGCAGGGTTTAGATAGCAGGGAGCTGATTAAAACCAGTCTTTCCAGGCAGCCCCATTACCCGTGCTTAAACAGACCTGCAGAGAGGGTAGCACTGCTCCCCAGAGTGTGAACACTCGGGGTGGTCCCTTTCTCAGAACAAAATTACAGAAATGCAGGGCACTTTGAGCTGCGGCCCCGAGGAGCCCCCCCCCCCACACACACACTCCCTGTGGCGGCTATGCCAGTCCCGGGAAGCTAGAGCTTGTGCAATACAGCTTTTTGGCTTGGGAGCACCAACCCCCCAAAAGTGGTGATCACTAATTCCATGGCCCAAAAGCTCTGATGGCTAAGTTAGTTACCAGTGCCCTTCTGGTGTCACAAGCCAGTAGGACTTCCTGTTGATCCAGGAATGATTTGTACCTATCTTGGGGCGGGGGGCAGGAGTGCAGGAGGGCAAACATGACATGCCAGAAAACAGGCATGAGATTAGCACCAAGGATAATGGTGAGAGGCCAGGCTTATGGCTGACCTTGGCAAAAGCGTCAAGAAGGGCTGAAAATTCTCAGTGCTCCCACCCTACATGCTGGGACTTAAGTGAACACTGTCTGCATGAAGCTATACAGCTGTATGTAGCTATTGGACTCATGAACCTACCCCTAACACTGCTGTTAATCTTTGCTTGTACCATCTTAATCATTTGTCTCTATGCTAAATTACAGTGAATAACTTAAACCACTTTTATGTTCTTGGTTATGTGTTTTGCAGGGACAAGGCCTGAACTATGTAGTAAGATTCAGCTTATTACAATGATAACCCTGATAATCTAGTCCACGGGGGCAAGGGGTTGGCTTTGTGACTGTTGTGACTTTCTTGGTTATGTGTTTTACAGGAACAAGGTGTTAAATTTGTAATAAGTACATGTTCAGATTGTTATAATTCTTAGTCTTGTCCACAGGGGCAAGGAGTATCGTTAGTAATGGATAACAGCTCAGACTGTGCTGATGATAGCTCTTGTCATCTGGTTTCCAGGGGAGAGGGGAGGTGCAACTGTAGTAAGTGTATGTACAGGTTCATCTCTGTAGTCTCGACCACAGGGGCTGGGGTGGAGTTTGTGATGGGTATATAATCGAACTGTGATGTTAAGCCTTGTAATGCTATTCCCAAGAACAATGAACGAAATTTTAGTGAGTGTACTGTTACAATATTAATCCCGACTGTCTGGTCCAAAGGGAGAAGAGTAGTTTCTAACTGATGTATATTAAGATAGTAGATGTTGAAAGCAGAATTTATACTGGACATTCAATACTGGACTAACATTCAAATAGTTCTTCCATACATGTTTTGCAGCGATGAGGAGTGGACTGTGTTGGCCATAAATTGCAGGACTCGCATCCGCGTGAGTGCCCAAATTGTTCATGCATGAGCACCGAAGAAATTCATGCATGAAGACCCAGTTAATTTATGCATTAGTGCCCAGTAAATCTACACATGAGCACATGTTTAGTTCATGCTTGCATGCCCAAATAATTTATGCCCGTGTGCCCAATCAGTACAGGCACGAGTGCCCAGTTAGTGCATGCAGGAGCGCCCAACTTGTTCCTGCATAAGCACCCAATTAATTTACACACAAGCACCCAATTAGTACACAGATGAGTGCCAATTAGTTCACGCATGAGCACCCAATTTGTTTTATGCATGACTGCCCTATTAATTTATACTTGAGTGCCATTTGGTATGTGCATGAGCGCCCAGTTAGTGCCCACATGAGCATCCAGTTAATTTTACGAATGAACACCCAATTATTAAACACATGGGTGCTGTATTGGGCAGAACTGGCAGGCTTTGGGTAGCAGGGGGCTGCAGGGGTGGCCTGTGTGGGAGGAGACCATGACCTGCTCTGCGCCAGTCACAGATGGTTGCAGGCAGCTCTGGAGCCAGCTTGAGCACCCCCTCGTGCACCAAAACTGCAGCCAGTTGGAGGAGTCCCTGGGGCCTCTGCTCAAAAATATTTAAGAAATAACAGCAGCCGCTAGGGAAGGAGACATGTAAGGAGACATGCATGGAGTTGCCTGAGGAGACATGCAGCTGTAGATGTGCTTTTGAAAGGACGCATTCCACGCTGGAGTGGGGATATCCCAAAGGGATATCCGCTATGGGTGACCCACCCTATGAGGCCTATGGGTGACCCACATCAGAGCACGAACCTCCCCTGAAGGGACTGCGGCCTGCCTGCAGCCCACCCTGGGGCAGACATTGCAGCCTGCAGGCAACCCATGCTGCAGCAGGCACTGTAAAAAGGACAGCGGAGCAGCAGACAGAAACCATCGCACATATGACCCCCAACTTACCGTGCTGCCTATTGCCTCACTGATGGAGTGAGACATTGGGACAGACTGAGCGTAACCCGCAGTGAAAGCAGGAGCTGAGACTCAGAAAGGGGAGGAGAGTAGTTTACCTAGGTGTTTGTTTAATTGTCTATGTTTTCTTTTTTTTTTCTCAATACCTGAATCAATGATTAGATGTTTGTCTTAACTGGCAATAGATTAAACCAAATAAAAATTTGCCAGGTCAAGAATGTTTTGCCCATAACAAATGCCTGCGTTGAGGCTGCGCATGGATTTCAAGGGATGTCACAAAAGCTGATACACTTGGCAGAGAGCTGCGTAATCCAGTCAGTGGAAACTACCGAGGGATTTACAGCTCCGACATCTCTCCTGGAGTTATAGCCCAACACCAACTCTTTCTCAGAAAAGAAAGGTAGGAAGGAGCACCTAGGACTCCCAACAGCTGGGAAAGGTGTGCTCAGATGCTCTCAGCAGAGACTTAAGGTCTCTCGCTAGCCACTGAGAGGTGAATAGAAAGGGAGAATGATTTCCTTTAGCCATTTTCCAGCAGGTGCAGTCTGCGGTGCATCTTATACTTCCTGACCAACTCAAGCCTGCTGGTGGCATGAAGGGACGAGCACAGGGGGTGCAAATCCTGGCAGGGTGGATTGGGTGAAGCATGTCTCACAGTGCTCCAGCAGGCCCAGCAAATCATGAGTCAGGCTAGAGGCGGGGTCAGGCTGCCACTGCATTAGGCAACCTTATGAGTGGAGCACTTAGGAAATGGCAGGAATCAAGGGCAGGTATTTAAGGCTATCACCTGAGACACCAAGAAAAGGCAGGGAGTAGCAACCAGGTGCTGATGCTGGTTTGTCTCTGTGGCCCAAATTCCACCCCACTGCGCGTGTCAAATGCCAAAACTCAGCTTGGTAGCTGAGTGAATTGCTGAGTGACCACAGTGGGGCTGCAGCGTTCACACGAAACCCGTGAAATCTCACAAGGGTTTAAAAAAAGCCCAACAAATTGACTTTAACTGAATAATACTGCGGT